ATGGTGGCACGCAGGCAGAAGTGGTGCTGGAGAAGAGCTGAAAATTCAGCTCTGGATCAGCGGACAGCAGGAAGAGAGAATGGGCCTGGCTTGGGCTTCTGAAACCCTAAAGCCCTTCCCCAGTTACACACTTTCTCCAGCAAGGCCTCACTTACTCTACAAAGCCATACCTCCCAATAGTGCCACTCCCTATGAGCCTATGGGGGCCATTTTCATTCAAACTACAAGAGGACAGGATCACTAATCCACTTTCCCTTCCACCTGTTCTATTCCAGCCCATATACTCACAGTAAAAACTCTGGCAAGTTTGTGCCAGAATCGCTACCCCAATCCACAGCTGTCTGGTTTAACCACCACCAGCTCAGTCAGTGGAACAGGTGTCTATTGGGCTGCTGAGTTATGATTATACTGGGCTTTCTGATCCCTACAGTAGCTTGCTGTTAGTAAGGACCTGGTCATTTTGTAAAGCTCTCCGGGTCATTTCTTTTTAGAGATTCTTGCTTTCCCCACTCTCACAGCTGATTCTACATGCAGGCTTCATGATTCTGCATGCATGCTAACAGACTCCCTCCACTCCCTTGCCAGCCAGGAATCAGAGAGAGCATAACTGCAAGCATGTACAGCCCATTGAAAATGTGATATGAAACTTCCATTTTCCTCTAAAATATATAAAGAAGAAACCTTCACTCTGCCACTTCGGCAAGAGCTCACTGGCTAGCTGCCTCTGGTTCCCAAGTGCTGGGGCTAAAGACATGCAACAGCGCTGCCTAGCTACACTTTGTTTTCTGTTAAGCCAGTTTCCAGAGTTCACTCATGACTCTTCCATGAGCACATTACTCAGAAGTTGGCTTATATGTATCCCATGGAGAAGTAAACTGGGGCTGGATGTCTTTTCTGTTACCCTGAAGTGTCATTCTTATATTTATAGAGTTACATTTTTCTGTCCATTTCAGATGCTTTTTTTTTCTTTAGAAAATTTATTATTTATTCATGTGTATCCATGTATGTGTGTAGTACATGTGGGTACAGGTACCTTTGGAGGCCAGAAGACATCCTCTGGTGCTGGAGTTAGAGGTGGTTGTGAGCATGGGTGCTGGGAATCAAACTGGTCTTCTGCAAGAGCAGCAAGCACTCTTCAAAGCTGAGCCATCTTGGGATACAGAGTTGTCTCAGAGGTTAAGAGTATTTGTTACTCTTGCAGAAGACTGGGTTCAATTTTCAGTGTCTACATGGTGTTTCATAGTGATCTATGACTCCAGTCCCAGGGAATCCACTTCTAACCTCAGTGGACATCAGACATGTATGTGATACACAGACATACGTGCAGGCAAATGCTCATACACATTTTTTAAAAAGGCCGTCTTTCCAGTCCCCATTTTCTTTTTCTTATGGGAAATCTCTATTCTGACATCTTAAAATATGTTTGGCTGTGACTTCTCAAAGCACTCATCTTTTGTGTTTCCTCTTTCAATACATAACCTGATTATTCTTCATGGAAAAGGGTGACATGCGCATATTTCTAAGTAAATAGCAGTTTGTCTGTAAGCCGTGTGTTAAGACAGACTGTGATTCTGTTATACAATGTCTCCTCTTTTATGAATGAATTTTCTATTTACATAGGGATGTATTAGAAACTGTTTTCCTTGTTGCTGCTTCGTAACTGTAATTTTGCTACTGTTATAAATTGTAATGTAAATGTCTGTGTTTTCCAATGGTCTTAGGCAACCCTTGTAAAACTGTCATTTGAAAACCCCAAAAAGGATATGACCTATGGGTTGAGAACCCCTGTCCTGAATCCTGTCAGACATTATTCAAGTGCCCTTGAATTGAATTTTGATAGGAGAACAAGTGACAAAGGCCACTCTGATAAGGTATTTGAAAAGAGGAGATCTTATCGGAAACTAGAAAGTAGCCATTCTTATGATAAAATGGGGACAGCTTGGCTTTAGTTTGCTCATGTCTTACATAACTGAAGAAGTTCAAAGTGCAAACAAAGTTGCTTGCATAAAAATATCTATGTTGCAGGGCTTAGTTGGTTATATGGTTCCTACTGTGGTTTGAATGAAAAAGGTAGCTGCATCGGCTCATGTATTTGCACATTCAAGCTGTAGTTGGTGGCACTGTTTAGGAAGGCTATGGAATCTTTGACAAGTGGAGCCTTGCAGGAGGAAGGGATCTGAGGTAATATAGCCTAGCCCTTGTGATGGCGAACAATAGGTTTAAAGGATAAATTTGCTGTGCTAGGCTTGTAAAAACAAAATTATTTCTAACTTGTATAAGCCATAAGGAATTTGTTCCTACCCTGAATGATGGACCACTTCTTGGTGTAGTTGGGCTAGTCTTTTTTTTTTTTTTTTGGTTTCTCTGTGTAACAGTCCTGGCTTTCCAAGAAACTCACTTTTTAGACCAGTCTGGGTCAAACTCACAGAAATCCACCTACCTCTGCTGCCCAAGTCCTTCATGTGGGCCACCAAGCCTGGCTAGTTAAGCTATTCTTTAAAAAAAAATGCTGATTGTTACAAAATAGTTCACAGCCTGAGCTATTCTTACAAGGTCACAAGATTAAACACACTAACTAATAAATTCTGCTTTTGTATGAAACACATGCTTGCATGGATGGCTGAGGCACCTGCTGGACATCTGTTACAAAATCAAGCCTTACCTGGATTCAGACAGGATATAAGTTAAATTGGCTTCCCAAAATTATAACTTTGTGGTTTTGCCTTCATAATCCTTTGGCTAACAGTAGCTGGGGCATTACCTAGAGGACTCTTTCTGGTTTGGTCCTGGCCAATCTTTTTTAATAAAAAGCCTCTGATTTACTAAAACCAAAACTTGAGTCAGTCTGGTGAATCTCTGAACAACCCCAGACCCACAACACTCCAATTTCTGTGCTCACACTTAGCCTTCTTATTTTGATGGAATGTGATCATTATATTTCCTCATTACCAGGACAGCCTGACATTCTTGCTGCCATGCCTTCTCCATCATAATGAACTATATCCCCCCTGGAACAGTAAGCTGAAATACATCCTTTCTTCCCTAACTTGCTTGTTGTCAGGCTATTTTTATCACTGCTGTCGAGAGGTAAAATAGCTCCTTTTGTCTCTCTATAGTGCCGACACAAAACAGCTCTTTCATCTTGTACAGAACTATCTTCCAGCCAAAAGGCCATCATCTTCAGGAATTCAGCTGAGCATTCTAGCAAAGGATCATGCTACTTGGGCTTGTTCACTGTTGACTTTCCCTCATAGAAGGAGAGAGCACACAGGGTCATGGGACCCTCACCCAAGTGTCCAGTCATTCTTCCCAACCAGTTGTATGCAATTTTGCCCTAATTGCATGTGGCCTCAACTGGGGTCTGTGAGCAACAGGAGGCTAGAGTGTATAAGTAGAAAAAGACTAGGGAAGAAGGGTGTCTATCTGTGCAGCCGTGGGAGGGACATCAGCACTATTGAGTAAAGACTTCCAGTGCTGTACTGGAGGAAGGAGCACCTACATTCCTGTAAGTAACTCCTCGCCTATGCCCTGTAAGTCCAGTAAACCCATTGTTTTCCCTGGGTGAGCCTTTGTGGCATTGTACTGCGGTTTGTTGTTGGGACCTTGGAAAGACAGGGTAGTGGAGGTAAGATACGATTTATGTCTTGTCCAGAAAGGAATTTTAGCAACAACTCAAAGGGAATAAAGAGATAGTTTATTCTAGTGCTAAAGAAGAGTAACCTGGGAGCATGACTTAGGTTAGCACAAATACCATGTTGTGGAAAATTTTTTCTCTTTATAAATATATTTCTCTTAAAAAAGAATAAAGTTATAGAACAAGACACTTTTAAAATCTGTTGGTAGAAATGTCAAGTAGGCAGGTATAGCAAAGTGGGGACATTTCTGGTATAAGCCTCAGATACTATCTGATGGTTTTCTTAGCTTTTAGATACAATCCCATAGGAAGTGGAAGAAGTCCTGAGTGAATATATGTTGTTGACATGAGCACAGCCTTGTCAAGGATTCCAGTGCCTCAGACCCATGAGAATGGCAAATCCCTCCACAAGTCAGGCTCAGAGAAATAGTAAAACCTACTCCTGGCCCCTGTGTGAGTGTTGACAGTGTACAGGGCAATTGCCGACCTCAGCTTCTTCCTAAATGTTTACAGCCTGAGATTGTTCCCACAACTGATCAGCTAACCATGCCCCGCTATAAATTATAACCCCTCTTCCTCACTCAGCTGTATATTGTTAATCCATTCTTGATTCTGCTATATAAAATAAACTGGTCCAAGTTTCTGAGCTCCGCTGGTGTATCTTCATTGGAGTGCATGGTCCACCCTATTCCAGTTTTTCTGTATGTGAATCTGTTGTTTTTTCCTTCCTCATCTCCCCAGTTATGTGTGTGTAGTTTGTGTCAATCCATCATGGTAGAAAAGTCATGGCAACAAGACCTTGCTACAACTGTTCATACTGCATCAGCAATCAAGAATCAGAGAGCAGGGCTGGAGAGACAGTGGTTAAGATTACTTACTGCTCTTGTAGAAGGCCCAAGTTCAGTTCCAAGCACCTGTGTCAGGCAGCTCATAATCACTGGTATCTCCAGCTCTAGCAGACCCAATGCCTCCTTCTGGACTCCCTCAGCCCTGGAAACCCCACAAGCAAAGACACCTCCCCGCCCCCCACACAATATACATATATTTAAAAATAAACATTTGTTAAGAAGGAAAGAAAGAGAGAAGGAGTGAGAGAGCGAGAGAGCGAGAGAAAGAAAGAAAGAAAGAAAGAAAGAAAGAAAGAAAGAAAGAAAGAAAGAAAGAAAGAAAGAAAGAAAACCCAAAGCTGGGTACTTTATTTAAAAAAAAAAATTGATCTCTTCACAGTTCTGAATTCAGGGATGTCCAAGATCAGGACAACTGTACTTAGTGAAGATGTTCTTGCCACATCTTCATATTTGGAAAGTTGATGAGCAAGAGAGAATAAATTCATCCCTATAAGACATTTTATTACTGGATTGAGCAGATAAGGTGACAGCTCCTGTGATCTAGACCACTCTCTCCTGTAAAAGATCCACATCACTAGTCTGTTGCTCTAGGGATTATTCTTTCCACAAAGGATTTTTGGGGAAGCATGGATACTATAGGACAGAACTACATATCAGTTTCACATCAAGTCTAGGACCTGAGCCCTACAGTTGAGAACCTATGTACAAATTTTAACTTAGAATCATCATAATTACAAAGAAGCATTGATACTTGTCATGCTGGGAATGTTGAGCCCAAGTCACAAGGTAAAAGTATTTACCAGACCATAATTGATATAAAAGTTTTAATAAAGAATGTACACTGTGAAGGCTGGAGAGATGACTTAGTGGTTAAGAGCACATACTGTCTTGCAGAGGACCCAAGTTTAGTTCCTAGTATTCATATCAGATGACTCACAACTTTCTGCTAACTCCATCCTCAAGATATCTGACACCTCTGGCTTCTATGGGTATTCATATTCATATGATCACACCCGTATTGTGACACACATAATTAAAAATAATAAAAATTTTAAAGAACATACATTGTGGAGGAAACAGAAACCCAATGGGAAATTCTAAGAGAGAACAAGAGACTGGTCCTTTTGACATTTCTGTAGGATATATTTGAACAGATGAGAAACAAGCAACTCATTATCTTTTAAGTGATAAATTTTACAACACTTCATTTTTCCTGTAACTAGCCATTTGAAGCAAACCATGGATTCTAATTGTATAAGACATCACATGTCATTAATTTGGGTGCCAAACAGTCAGGGTCTGATTGTTAAAGTAGATAATTTTTGCTTTGATTTATTGCCTTTTTATCTCTATATTCCCCCTTACCCAATAGATGACCAAAGTCAACTTTTTGATAAGGAATAAAGGATCATTTTATTTTAGAATTGCCTCATAGCTGAGAAGGGGGTCTTGGTTGACATTGTGGGTTTGTCATGGGGTTTTAGGACCATAGGACATAAGAATCTTGACCCATATTTTGGAGGAAGGGTTATCTTAAGATGTTGAAGGCTATGATTTGCTTGTAGGTCAAGAGTTCCTTAGTGGTAGAACAAAGGTGTTGGTGTTGATGGTAATGACTGATATTCCTTAGACCATACCATCTGGAGCTGAATAGCTTGCAGTCTTTGTTTCACTGAAAGAGATGATGGATGTCTCCAGGAGACTCATAGGAATAGGCCATTCATGTTTCTGGGACTAGAACAGTCTTAACTCTGAAGAGATGAATCCATAAAGATTGGCCTTGCAATTTGACAGCAATTGGAAACTTATAAGTTCAAGTGCAGAAAGCTTCAAATGGTCTGTAGTGGTTTGAATGAGAATGGTACCATAGGCTTATATATTTAAATACTTGGCCCTGAGTTGGTAGAACTGTTTGGGAAGGATTAGAAGGTGTGGCCTTGTTGGAGAAAATGTGCTACTGGGGGTGGGCTTTGAAGTTTCAAAAGCTGGTGCCATCCTTATTAGCTCTCTCTGTCTTTTGCTTGTGAATTAGGATGTAAGTTCTCAGCTATTGCCTCAGTGCAATGCCTACCTGCCTGCTGCCATACTTCCTGACCAGAGAGTCATGGACTCTAACCTGTTAGAACCATGAGCTCCAAATTAAATGCTTTGTTTTATAAATTATCTTGGCCATGGTGTTTTGTCACAGCAAGTGAAAAGTAACTAAGACATGGCCTTTTAACTTAATTTCTTTTGTTTATGTGAGAAAGTTGTCCCCAAAAGGTGGCCATAGGCTTGGAGCTGTATTTCTCTTGGTACTCAATGATAGCCTTGATCATGTATTGCAATGACAAACTAAGACAGATAATGAGTCTCTGGATCTAGAAAGAGGTTTTTCTGGAGAAAGGACACACTGTAAAAGACTTCAAAGGGTCTGGGGTAGACTGTAGACTTGGGAATAATGTGGGATTTTAAAACTGCGGTTGGGAGAAGAGTGGGTCAAGACTGTCAAGTCTCCAGTGTGAGCTTACTGAGAGATCTCTTAGGAGTTAAATTAGAGAGCTATAGAGAGATGGCTCAGCATTTTTAGAGCACTTGCTGCTCTTATGGAGAATCTAGGTTCAGTTCCTGTTGCTCATTTCAAGTCACTCATAATTGCCTATAACTCCAGTTCCAGGGGATCTGGGTCCTCTTATGGACTCCATTTGCACTAAAATGTTTTATTAGTCCTTTCAACCTTCCTGGAAGATTAGGATGCCAGGCTATGTGGAGATATTTAATTTTAAGAGTTTTACCTCCTCCATGAGTGGTATATAAATGAAAGCCATGTCTTTATCAGACTGTAAGGACAGGGAGCCCAATACAAGGAACAATATATTCTATGACAACAGTGGTTACATCTGAGACCTTTTCTGTTTTAGTAGCAAATGGCTTTCTTTACCTAGTGAAACATCTACTAGAACTAATACATGTTTGAGTCCCTTTCTTGAAGATCTATGAGTATGCAGATGAAATTTGTTTGCCAGTCTTCCTATGGCATAGTCCCCCAATGCCGGACAGGCAATAAAAAGAGTGGGTTCTGTTGAAGCCCATTTCTAGGTTTCCTAGTGGCTTTACCCAGCAGGTCTGCATAAAGAGGATAATTGGACCATGGGCCTGAGTGCAGGTGTCAGAGATGGTCTGCACTTGGCTGTGCTGGGGGAACGTCTTTTGCTCCACCCCTTGGCATTCCTTTAAATACCCTAGGGCAGAAACAGTTGGGGCTGATGTATTAGGATCCAGGCCCTCCTGAGTCTATCCTGTGTTTTCTATCTGTTTCTCTCCCCTCTATCCTTCTAACTAATATTTCCTGCTGCTCCTACTCGAGTACTCTGGGGAAATGTGGGGGTGGGGTATGGTCCCCCATAGGGTTCTGAAGACTTCTTGGAGAAGTCTTGGCCTAACAACAGGTGGGACAAGATTAGAGAATGGAAATGGAGGTCTAAAGAGTATCTGTACCTTTAAAAAGAGGCTCAGTTAGAATTTGTAGGGCTCTTCCCTGAGCCCCAATTGTATAGGCTCATGTAAATTACTAAGGATCTCTGATCAGGAAGCTCTGGACAACACAGTCTTGTTTACAGAGTCAGGGGTCAGGCCTTTGAAATTCCTCAATAAAGATGGAAAGATTCTAGCTGAACAACCCTGGTTTGGATTGTGTTTCATATAGGTCTGATATGAGAAAGAAGAATATCCCTCGGGTGATAAGATCCCCATTAGGCACCCTGCAAAGGGGAAGGGTGTTTTCTGAGAGAGAAGATACTTTTTCATTATTCCCCAGGTTCCATGTAAAGTTCATGAAATTCCTGGGTGAATGTGTGTACATGCTTGTGCATAGGGAGGGGGAGCATTGGAGAATGCTCCAGAAGAGGAAGATGAAAAAGAGGAAGATGAGAGATTGCAGAGAGGAGGCCAGGACGGAGCTGTTAAACAAAGGGGTGGCTGCTGATGGAGAAGCTGGAAGTTGAACAGGGATCAGTTGTCCTCTGGGGATGAGTTTAGAGTAGATGGGCTAGAGTAGAGGATCCTGAAAGGCACATTCATCTTTCTCACAGCTGAAGTTCCTGCAATAAGAATATGGAGGCTTGTATAAAATACTTCTCTAAATTAGGAAACGAGACCTCATTGTAAGATAGAGTTACATTTGTGCCATGAGGCAGCAAATGCTCTTGGTCTCAGCAGGTATAAAAGCAAGATTTTGTACTTTTTTTTTTTTTTTCAGAAACCCACAACTGGACAATGTGTAGAGAGTTGGAGACTTTGGAGAACTCACCCCTAAATGAAATGTCATTATTAAGCCCTCCCCCTCAAGGCTCAGGGATCTATTTGGAAGAGGAGGCAAAAAGATTTTTAAAAGTCAGAGGTGGTGGATGACTCCAAGAACACAGCATCTTCCAAACAGTGCAGGGCTGATGTACATATGAACTCACAAAGTATGTGACAGAATGCAAAAGACCTGTGTAGATCCAAGCCAGACAAAACCCCAGCATGAAAAAGGAAAAATGGGCACAAAGTCTCACTCCTAACCAAGAAGCTATTTGCCTTTGTTACTCCTGGGAGAGGGAAAATCGGTTTTCTCCAGTGGAGTCACAGTGAGTATTTCAACCATGCTCAGGACTACTTGATCAACACAAAACAGCAATGCAAGCCCGATAGCCTGAGTTCAGATCCCTGGAACCTATTCAAAATGTTTGATGGGATAGGTTGAATCTGTTCATCTGTATTCCCAGCACTTTTACAATGAGATGGGAAGTGGGATAGGAGAAATCCCAGAAGTTTGCAGGCTACCTATGCTGGAGTACAGTAGCAGAAACAAGAGTTTCTTTAACAAAGCCAGTACAGTCGATAATTATATTTTGAATGTACCCATTACAGAAAATTACAACCAATCAAAATGCAGAGTTACAGAAGCCAGTCCCAATGGATACATCTACAAAACACCCCTGCACCTACAGCATCTTTGACCTCTGTGGGCACCAGGCACATGCAGCCAAGAAAACCATACACATAAAAATAACAAGCAAAATTTTTAAAATTTATTATTTATACATATGTATTTTGTGGGTGCCCACAGAAACCCCTAGAAGGTGTCTCATGCCCTGGATCTGGCAATTGTGAGCCAACCAAAATAAGTGCTAGAAACCAAACGGGTCTTCTGGAAGAGCAGCTAGTGCTCTTAACCACTGACCCATCTCACCAGCCCCATAAAACACCCATTGTTAAATGACCCAATTATTTGAAAACTACATTAAGCCTAGTGGAATATTGAGAAGACATGAATTCAACATAATTTAAAAGTAGCCATAGGTACAGTAGTGCACGCATGTAATGTGCTAGTCAAATGAAACCCTGTCTCAAAAGAAATCAAAATAAGTAACAGAACAAAATTAGAAAAGTAATATTACTACATTTGATGGCTGAGCAGTCCCTTTCCCAACCCAGTCCCTGATACTGAGCATCTCCCTCACAGGTTCCGTCCCAAACCCCCAGAATAATAGGAGGGCTTAAGGAGCCCTATGTAGCACGAATCTTAAATGTTCTTATTAATAAAAACAAACCCAGAGCCAGGTATTGGGGTGAACACTAAATGATCAGAGAAACAGAACAAGTCACAGCCACCTCACCTTGCCAATTCCTCAGCTGATCCTGTTTCCTCAGACTGGAAGCCTCTGAGTCTTCATCCAAAATGAATCTCAGCTGAACTACTGCTCAAAAGTCTAAAAGCTTAACCAGGCTAGTTCCTGGTCCTCATACCTTATATTTTTCTGCTTTCTGCCATCACTTCCTGAGATTAAAGGTGTGAGTCACCATGCCTGGCTGTTTCTAGTGTGGCTTTGAACTCACAGAGATGCAGACGCATCTCTGCCTCTGAAATGCTAGGATTAAAGGCATGTGCTACCACTGCCTAACCTCTATGTTTAATATTATGGCTGTTCTGTTCTCTGACCCCCAGGTAAGTTTATTGGGGTGCCCAATATATCAACCACATCCCTACTCTCTTAAAATACCATCAAGAAAGTTCATCTCTCTCTCTCTCTCTCTCTCTCTCTCTCTCTCTCTCTCTCTCTCTCTCTCTCTCTCTCTCTCACACACACACACACACACACACACACACACACACACATACATACACAAAATACACTACCCCCAGGACATTGAAGGAGGAGGATCATCATGAGCTAAAGAGCAGCCTGGGTTATTTAGTAAGATACTGTTCCAAAAAGAAATAGGGGATGGAGAGACTGATTATTGGTTAACAACACTTGCTGCTCAATCCTGAGAACCAGAGTTTAGATTACAGCACACAAAAATGGTGGCACACACACACACACACCTGTGAGTCCAGGTCCAAAGGATCCAGTGCCCTCTTATTGCTTCCACTGGCACCCACCTACACATGTGCACATACACATACAAATAAAAACATTTTAATAAATAAATCAATAAATATAGAAATAACAGAGCATACTACCAACTAAGTTCATAATTAACCTTAGATGATTATTTCACTCCAATATGTACTTTCAGGGGTGTATTTAAAAATACGTTGTCCAAAGATCTACTTCTGAGTCATAAGAAGGGTCGTGGTAGTACACACCTTGAATCCCACATTTGGAAGGCAGAAGCAGAAGTAGGCAGATCTCTGAGTTCAAGGCCTGTCTAGTTTACAGAGCAAGTTCCAAGCCAGCCAGGGCTATGGAGAGAAACTCTACCTCAAAAAAACAAAATGACAACAAAAGAATGAGTCCTTAAATTAAAAAAGGTTGCATTTCTTTATTTCATGTGTGTATGTATGCATTCTGGTGCCATGGCATTAGAGTTGAGGTCAGAGGACAACTTTCATGAGTTAGTTCTCTCCTTTTGCCACATGAGTCATGGGGATCCCATTCAGGTCACCAGGAAGCTAGCCACCTCACCAAATGTAAAATTATTTTATTTTTAGGGGCTGGAGAGATGACTCAATGGTTATGAGTATTTGCTGCTTTTCCAGAGGACCAGGGCTCAGTGTCTATCACCCACATGGTGCCCGAGAACCATCTGTAATTCCAGTTGCAGGAGACACGATGGCTTCTTTTGGGCTCCACAGGCACTGTATACATGTGGTGCACAAACACACATGCAGGCAAAACACCCATAGATATCAAATTTTTAAATTGTTTTAAAAAATAAATAATAAATGGGACTCAACAACCAGCAACTGATAAACATATTTATAACTCTCAGAACATCTTCCATCAGGTTTTCTAATTTCTGGAGAATTCTACACAAATTATTTTACATCACATTTTATACTGCTTGCTTGTTTCTAGAAGTGGACTGCATGAAGAAACTTCACAGGATTTTGAACCTCTTTATTATAACCAAGTTTTCTTTTTCCCATTTCCAAGAGTTTGATCCAGCATGTACTCAAACATGTAGACCAGCTGAAGACTTCTGTACATTATTCTAATGCACATTTCCCAATCAGAGTGTGGTATTTTTAAGGGTTTTCTTTAATTAATTAATATATTTATCTTTATGTGGAAAGGGGGTGGGATGCACATACAACACTGTGTGTATGGAGGTCAGAGGACAACTTGGAAGAGTTGGTTCTCTCCTTCTGGGAATCAACTCATGTCATCGGGCTTGGCAGCAAAGACCTTTACTCACTGACCCATTCCACCAAACCCATTTTTTGAAATTTCTGAATTGAGACGTCCTTCCACATGTTACACTAATACACATTTTCTTCATTAATCACTGTCAAGTTTGCTAGAATGGACTTGTGATAACGGGAACTTTCCACACTCTACACTGAAGGATACCTTCAAGTGTGGCTGCTTATACATCTTTGAAAGAAATCACAGCAAGACAGATATGCCACATTGCTTGTGCCCATATGGTTTTCTCCAGTGTGAGTTTAATCAAACAAATTCAAAAACTAGAAGGCTTTCTTGCATAGTTTGCAGGATAGAGGGGGGTTTCTTTAGACTATGAACAAATCATTTCATGATAAAGGATGTCCATATTGATAGTATTCACAGGGTGTAAAAGTTATTCTTCTTGATGTCATGACAAAATACCATACAAAAACAACTTACATAAATGTTTATCTTATCTTTAAAAAATGGTTCATTTTAACAGGGAAGGCATGGTGGTGAGCTGGAAGACAAATGCTGGTGCTCTGTTAGTTTACTCCTTTCTCAGTATTTATTCAGTCTGGGCCCCAAGCCATGAGATGAGACCCAAAGTGGTGGGTCTTCCCTTATCAGTTACATCTCTCTGGATGTGCCATAAGTGTTTGTTTTTGTTTGTTTGTTTCTTAGGTGATTATAAATCCAGCCAGGTTGACAAAAAAAATTAGCCATCATCAAGTCTACCTCTAAAGCTGATGCCCAGAACCATCCTTTTTCATCATACTGTTCTATCCCTGGTCCTCAAAGGTTTGTGGCCGTCTCATAAAGCAAAAATAATCCATTCCAACTTCAAAAGTGCCCACAGTCTTAGTACTTTAAACACTGTATGGTCCAAAGTCCAAACACTTTTTTTTTTAGACTCAAGGCAATCTTGGAACTGTGAGCCCTTAGAAAATCAAAAGAGGTTACAAAGCTGAATAGACAATGCTATGTAATAAACATTTCCATTCCAAAAGGGAGAACTGAGAATATAGCAGAGAAAGACTGTGCCAAAAGCAAGGCCAAAACCCAGAAACACAATCACCAAATCCTGAAGATATTTGTCAGCATCTAGAGCTATTGTTGATATCATCTGAGCTCCATTAGCCTTCTATAAACCCACTCCTCCATTTCTGTACCCTGCAGCAACCATTGCACTAGACTGGTTCTACTCCCTACCTCCTTAACAGACTAAGCATGGTCCTGGCATTTCCTAGAATCTCTGCTGTAACACAAGGCTCACCTTCACAGCTTCACAGCATTAAATTCACAACAATGAAAGGCGGCCTCTCAGGACATCCTTTCATAAAATTTGAATGTGCTACACATTGCTTTCCTTGCAGGGAATCTAAATGTGACACATATCATCTGGCCTTAGTGGGCTTGGAGCAAGCTACCATAACTCAGGTCTAGTCTTGCATTTTGCATGAAGGATGCTGTCAAGTTTTGATGCTGGCTGGAGATGTAGACTGGCCCCCTTCAAGTGAAACTGAAATAGCCCATGTGTCTTAGCGGTTGAACCAGGAAAAAAATACTTCCCTAGGCAATTATTTTGAACAAGAGATCACTTCAGTCTCTCCTTTCAAACAATTTTATACACTTACAAGCTAGAGTCTTCAATGGGAGGACTATGCCCTCAATGTATCCTTCCTATTGTCCCAGTGCAAAATGCATGCTTTATTCTTAGCTGTGCTAATCTTTTTAACAATCACAGCCCCCCACCATGCATTCCTTTTGTGCAGCATTAAATTCACTTATGATTTTCTCAACAAACTAGACATTTTTTACATCTCTCTCTCTTCCTCTCCATCTCTCTGCAAACCTAGGTAAGAGTGGTGAGCAATAACCATGACACACTGAATACTACACTGTCTTCAAATTGCCTTGATCTAGTAAAATGTCCTTTAATTAAACCTCAAATTCTTTAGACATGGGCAGAATAAAACCAGATTATTTGTCAAAATGTAATATGCATAGTTTCTAGTCCATTTCCCAATAAAGCACTCATTCTTTTCTGAAACCTAATGAGAATTCTTTATTTTCTGCATTTCTATTGGCATTTTGACCTTCCACACTCCCACAAAAATGGCCATCTAAACTCTTTAGTGTTCTAGGGCTTCTCTAGTTAACAGGATCACACTCTTCTGCACAGGGTTTCACTTCAGAGTGAATTCGCTCATGTCTTTGCAAGGAACTGCACTGCAAGAATGCTTTTCCACATTGCTTACATATATAAGGTTTCTCTCCACTATGAATCTTTCCGTGGTACCAAAGGGAACTGTGATAAGTGAAGGCTTTACCACATTGCTTGCATATATATGGTTTCTCTCCACTATGGACCCTCTCATGGTCCCGAAGGGAACTATGTAGAGTAAAGGCTTTACTACACTGATTACATACAAAGGGTTTAACTGTACTGTGTGTTTGCTCATGTCTCTGAACCTGATTCAAAGAAGGAAAGGCTTTCCCACAGTGCCTACATATATAGGGTTTCTCTCCACTGTGAATCCTTTCATGACGTTGAAGGGAACTGGAAAAAGTAAATGCTTTCCCACATGGCTTACATACATAAGGTTTCTCTCCATTGTGAGTTCTTTCATGGCGTTGAAGAGAACTGTAAAAAGTGAACACTTTTCCACACTGCTTACATACACAAGGTTTCTCTCCACTATGAATCTTTTCATGATACTGAAGGTAACTATTTTTAGAGAAGGCTTTCCCACATTGTTTACATATATAAGACTTTATTCCAGTGTGAGTCTGTTCATAGCCTTTGAACCTCACTCAAACATGAAAAGAGTTTCCCACAGTGCTTACATCCACACGATTTCTCCCCACTATGAATTCGTTCATGTCTTTGTAAGGACCTGCACAATGTAAAAGCTTTACCACATTGTTTACATCCATAGGGTTTCTCTCCAGTATGGGTCCTTTCATGATGATAAAGGGAATTCTGTGTTCTGAAAGCTTTATCACATTGCTTACATACATAGGGTTTCTCTCCAATGTGAGTCCTTTCATGGTGATGAAGGGAATTGTGTGTAGTGAAGGCTTTACCACATTGTTTACATACATAGGGCTTTTCTTCACTGTGAATCCTTTCATGGCATCTCAAATAATTGGAATGAGTGAATGCTTTCCCACAATGCTTACAATCATAAGGTTTCTCTCCACTGTGGATCCTTTCATGATATCGAAGAACACTGTGAACATAAAAAGCTTTACCACATTGCTTACATTCATAAGGTTTCTGTCCACTGTGAATTCGTTCATGTCTTTGCAAATATCTGTAGAGCATGAAAGATTTTCCACATTGTTTACATTCATAAGGTTTTTCTCCGGTGTGAATCTTCTCATGGCATCGGAGAGAAGTGTGTGTAGTAAAGGCTTTCCCACATTGCTTACATGCATATGGTTTCTCTCCAGTATGAATTCTTTCATGACATCTCAAGGAACCAGAACGAGTAAATGTTTTCTTACAGTACTTACAAACATAGGGTCTTTCTTCACGATGCACCTTTTCATGGCATTCAAGGTAAGCAGGATTAGGAAAGTCTTTATTACATTGTTTACGCACATATACCTTCTCTCCAATATGAGAACTTGAATGCATAAAAAGTGAAGTGGAATAGGCAAAATCTTTAGTACATTTCTTACACTTACACGGACCATCACCCTTGCATGTTACCATTTGTCTTTTGGTAACATTGTTCCTGAATTCTTTCCTATACTGTTTGCATACATCTGGTTTCTTTGAAGCATGGATTCTTTCAAGTATCTGGGAGGGATTATCACTAAAAGTTTTTCCACATTGTTTACTTTCATAAAGTTTCTCTTCAGTTTGAGTTCTCGTATGCATCAGAAGGCACTGGGGGAAGCTGGAGTTGTTTGTACATTCCTTACATTCATACAGCTGCTTTGCATATTTCTGATACTCATATGGTTTGTGTCCAAATTGAACTGTGATAGGCACATTTAAGGATGAATGACCATTGAGAACATTTCTACACATATGCCTTTCACATGGCTTGAACCTAAGAGGATTATCTTTATATAGAGTAGGATCTAGAATCCAGCTGAAATTTTCTACACATTGATTATCTTCATTATGTTCATAAAGACTCTTTCCCATTTGACTTCTGAAAAAACAAGGTTTTATTATTATTTTCCAACAAAATAACAATTTTAAGAAGTTTTTTTTTTTTTTTTTTTTTTTGGTTTTTCGAGACAGGGTTTCTCTGTGTAGCTTTGCGCCTTTCCTGGAACTCACTTGGTAGTCCAGGCTGGCCTCGAACTCACAGAGATCCGCCTGGCTCTGCCTCCCGAGTGCTGGGATTAAAGGCGTGCGCCACCACCGCCCGGCAATTTTAAGAAGTTTTAAACACAACCAGATGAACATTGTACAGTGTGGCTTGAGGTCGTTATCATAGTGGTATTCCTAGAAAGTTTTACTTTTTCCTATTGTTTTGATTTTTGTCTTTTTTTTTTTTTTTTTTTTTTTTTTGGTTTTTCGAGACAGGGTTTCTCTGTGTAGCTTTGCGCCTTTCCTGGAACTCACTTGGTAGCCCAGGCTGGCCTCGAACTCACAGAGATCCGCCTGGCTCTGCTTCCCGAGTGCTGGGATTAAAGGCGTGCGCCACCACCGCCCGGCGTCTGTTTTTTTTTAAGGTGCATAGGTCTTTTGAGACAGAATATCAAACTGTGCCCCAGTGGTAAGGCAAGTCTATGATGCCAACACTTGGGAGGTGAAGGCTGGAGGATCAGGGGCTAAGGCCAAGTTCAGGGTCATAACCAGTTTGAGGCTAGCTTAGGCAATACAAGACCCTATCTCCAAAACAATAATTAAGAGGCTAGAGGGAGAGCTCAGGAGTTGAGAACAAATACTGCTCCCCCATAGGACCTGAGTTCAGCTCTTAGCACCCATGTCAGACTGCTCACAACCACCTGTAACTCCAGATCCAGGGTGAACTGACAATTCGGGTTTCTGTGGACACCAACAGTCACATGCACACACCTATGCATATATATGTAACTTAAAAATAAGCCTTTAAAAAGATAATAGTAACAAATAAGTATCCCTTAAAGCAACATTTTCATGCTATGAGCATCTAAAATATAAAAATATGTTGAGTTCAGGGATTTTCTAAATATAGATAGTCAAACCTATGTGCATTTATAGAGACAGTTTTCTGAAGGTCCATTAATTGGGGATTGGACCATCTATATCATTTGGTTTGTTTTTAAAAATCCTTCTCATTCAAAGATGAATATTGCTTCATTTTTTGAGGGCAACTTACTTTGGATTTCTCTGGGAACTTCTGTAGTCTTTTTCAAAGTTCTGGTCTTCCTGTTCCATTCCTAAATGCAGGCCCAGAAAAATAACTGACTTACTATAGCATTATACAAAAGTATGAAACTCTAGATAATTTCATGATATAATCTGGTATATTGGCCAAAATTTCCCCTTGTAAATTCCACAACGTGTGAATGTGCACTGATGAACAGGATGTACTTGATTACATAATAAGGCGACCTCATTCTTACCTATGGCAGCCAAGTTCCTGAATGTTTCCTGCATCACATCTCTGTAGAGCTTCTTTTGAGAAGGACTCAGCAGTGCCCACTCTTCCATACTGAACTTTACAGCCACATCCTCAAAGGTCACAGACTCCTAAAATATGCCACATATTTCTAAGAGAAGGGTAAGTAACAACATTGGTGATCTAAAATCAGATCTTAAGTCACATGATGCTGGCAACCTCCACACAGAAATTCTCACATTAGATTGGAACCATAAAGTGACAGCAACAGCCAAATACTGGGAACTTCTGTAGTCAGTTTCAACGTTCTGGTCTTCCTGTTCCATTCCTAAATGCAGGCCCAGAAAAATAACTGACTATAGCATTATACAAAAATATGAAACTCTAGATAATTTCATGATAAACAGAGAATATGGTATATTGGCCAAAATTTCTCTTTGTATGTTCTATAACATATGGGTGTGCACCCACTGTATTGCTATATAACCCTAGTAACTATAAACTGAGCCTGCTGCATTGTTCTTTCAATATTTATTTGAGCTGGGTGGTAGTGATGTATGCCTCTAATCCAGCACTCAGAAGGCAGAGGCAGATGGATCTTGGAGTTCTGGGCCAGCCTGGTCTACAGAGTGAGTTCCAGGACAGCCAGGACTATACAGAGGAACTTTGTCTGCTGTAGGATGGTCTGTATGTCAAATTTTTCTAATTGGTCAATAAATAAAACACTGATTGGCCAGTAGCCAGGCAGGAAGTATAGGCGGGACTAACAGAGAGGAGAATTGAGAGAACAGGAGGGTGGGAGGAGACACTGCCAGCCGCCGCCATAAAAAGCAGCATATGAAGACGCCGGTAAGCCACGAGCCACGTGGCAAGGTATAGATTTATAGAAGTGGATTAAATTAAGATGTAAGAACAGTTAGCAGAAGCCTGCCATGGCCATACAGTTGTAAGCAATATAAGTCTCTGTGTTTACTTGGTTGGATCTGAGCGGCTGTGGGACTGGCGGGTGACAGAGATTTGTCCTGACTGTGGCTAGGCAGGAAAACTCTAGCTACACTTGTCTCAAAAACAAAAACAAACAACGCCAAAAATACCTATTATCTATTGGTTTATTCTGGTTTATATGCTAAGGTGTTTATATAAAGGTCTGGAAGCTGGTTATCTTTTCACAATGTGAGTCAGCCTACTTGGAGGCTGGTGTCTTCACCCACAAAGCCATCTTACCAGCCTTCTTAGAAATTCTCGAGCACCAATTCAAACCTTTTGCAGGATCTGGTGCCTGATACTGGAATGGACTGGATGAGCCCAGGAAAATCAGCCTGCTACTCCTGCTCAGGCTAAAAATATATTTTAATTGATGTTTTCTCTAGATATTTGCAAGTTTTTGACATACCTATCAGAAGGAGCCTATCTGATGACAAAATAATCTCCAGATTTTGAATCCCTAAAGATCTCCTCAGAAAGAGAATGCTTAACCCTTCTTGAGGCCACTTTGTATGAAGGAAAACAAGGGCATGTTCTGTAAATGCGCAGGTTAACAACTTTAGTAAGTCTGTATCTAATATCTCAACTGTCAACCCTGTATTAAATACTAAAAACAAAACAAAACAAAAAAACTTATGAATTCTCTATGCAAATAGGAAAACATACCAGCTCTTCCTGGAAAATGTCAAAGGACTCATGAAATAATGAGAATATTGTTAGCAAGAGCTCACTGTTCTCCCCCCAAAAAATCATCTCTTACATAAAGTTGTTTCCCAAAGCAGACCTTTAGTACATCAAAACAAAACCTTTATCTAGTCAAACAAAAGAAAACCCTTTGAGGCTGGGGATGCATCTCAGTGAAGCACTGACATCATGTGTGGGGCTATGGGTTCAATCCTCAATACAAAGAAAATAACATAATAAGGGAAGTGTAGTATATGAACTCTAGTACATGTCTTTCCATATGCATGTGTTAGAGTGGACTTCTGTTCTACTTTTATGATGACGTCCTTAAAAACAAACAAAAAACTTTTCCCTTTTAAGTTGCATTTTTCAGGGTCTTTTTATCACAGCAACCAGAAAGGAAATTGGAATAGTCTCAGAGTCAATTGAAAGTCCTAAGTTACTGGGTCTTTTGCTAGCATCACTTGTGAACAAAATGTCTGGTTTCTGCTGAACACCAATCAACATTCAAATACTAGGTGTACTACAGTTCAATTCTGACTATACCCAGTGTTAGCCAAGTCCTGAAGGACTGAGGGCTCAGTACCAACACACATCTCTACCACAGATGCCAAGCCAAAGCATCCATTTGTTCTTCTATGCCCCATCTATTTTTCCAGACATTATAGACAGATGGCAGTGAATAACCTCATTAGCATGAATTCAGATAGTACATGAAAGGAGCTTATGGTAAACATTCAGATACTCCTACTGCTCCAGAAATTCTAAGGGTTTTGAGTTCTCTGTAGTTGAAACAAGGACAAAGGCAACTAATTTTTAAATTTTATTATATACTTTAAAAACCATCAAACTCTAAAACTCTTACCTGCAGTAGGTTCTCAAAGTGTCTCCCAGACTATCCTCCATAGACTTTCTAATTGTAGTGGAGGGAGGAACATTTATTTATTTGTTTATTTGCACAGAGGGGGAGCATGTGGCACAAGCATGTGTGGAGGTCAAAGTACAACTAGGAGTTAGTTCTTGCCTTCCACCATGTGGGTATCTGGGATTGAACTCAGGTCCTCAGGCTTGGCAGCATGGTGTTCATCACCACAGCCTCAAACTTGCTAGGTAGTTCTTGAACTTCTGATCCTTCTGCACTCCACCCCCAGAGTACTGGGATGACAGGCCTGCAGCACCACACTCAGTGCTTCTATGTGGTACCACTCATCCAATCCAGGGCTTCATGCATACTAGACAAGTACTCTGCCAACTGAGTTATATCCTTTCAGTCTACCTTAAAGACTCCCAATTTCCACAAATTATATTCTAACTGGCACCTCACTATATTTGAAAATAAACAGTCGGAGATGCTAAATATTACTTAATATTACTTACAATTCTTATAAACTCTTAGCCAGCCAATCTATTTCTATTCCCAAGAAACAACCTAGTACAACCAAATACCATGCCTTTTTAGATGATGTCTCTTTTTCAAAGCTAAGACTGGGCCAGGGCCAGACACACACTTTCCAGATTACCAATTTTTGCCTTAAAAAAATATGAAAAGTTTAACTGATTAGTAGCAGATCACACTTTTTTGGAGGGAGTCAGGGGGTGAATCAGGTAAAGACTAGCCTGGAGAATTGTCTAATGCAGGATGACCCTATGACAATGCTCCTGCTTCAGATTACAAGCAGGTTCCAACATACCGGGCTTGGGAAACTCATTAAAGAGACTTTCCTTAAAGCTCTCCTTCAGAAGCTGGGATTTTGATCCACCCTCTGCCTGAGCCAGCACACAGCCCTTCTTTATTGACAGCCCGAGAATGGGCTGATCTCAAGGGATAATACTCTCTAGTCTAAGGTCTGATTTTGCCTCCTTTTCTTGTTCTTTCCTAGGCAGTAAAGGCTTTAACTGCCTAACCCATGATATACCAGACCTAAAGACCTTGCAGACTGCTATTTCCATACATTCAGATAAAATCAGGCCCTACCCCGGTCAACATTTAAAAACAAAACAAAACCAATGTGTATGGGCTGGAGAAAGAACTCCATTGATTAAGAACTTTCTGCTCTTCTAGAGGACCAAAGTTCAGTTCTCAGCACCTACATTCTTGAGCACATACCCACACATATGCACACATGAATAAAAGCAAATCTTTTACAGAAAATGAAGAGGAGGAAAAAGAGGAGAGAGGGGAAGACAATGTGTAGATACAGCTCTTGGAATAACAAGTACAACCTCAGAAAAATAGACACTTCTCCCTTGCATTCCAACCTACGGGCACATGTATATGAATCCTAGTTCTCCAGTGTTTCACTACCAAGGGGTCCTCTTCCTGTGAGAAGTCAATTCTCTCCATCATGTGGATTCCAGGGATGAACGCATTAAGTCATCGAGCTTGTCTACAAGCACCTTTACCCACTTAGCCATCTCACTGGCCCACTTTTTCTGTGTGTGTCAGAGAAGGACCTCAGATGTTCACCTTCCACTTTGTTTGAGGTAAGATCTCTATCGGTCACTGTTGTGCATGCCCAGGTCAGCTGGCCCAACAGCTTCAGAGGATTCTCCTGTCTCCACCTCTCATCTCATCACAGGAACACTGGGAGTACAGGTGTGCACTACCACATCTGGAATTTAAACAAGTTCTGAGGATTCAAACTTAGGTCCCAACACTTGCATGGCAAGTGATTTACTCACGGAGCCATCTCCTCAGCCCTAGGCAATTACGTAAGAGAGAAAATATGTAGTGTTTGAAGATTTCAGTAAAATTGAATCTCAGATTCTGTGTTTATATACATACATACATATACATATATATGTATATATATATATGTATATATATGTATGTATGGGAAATTGTAAGACAAACAAATTGTTGCTTAACAAGTACACCAGCCACGGTAGCAAACTCCTCTAACACTAGCACTCAGGATGCAGAAACGGGATGACTGCCACAAGACTGAGGGCAAGTTGGTCCACAAATCAAATTCCAGATGAGCCTTGGCTACACAGAAAATACCCTCTCAAAAATATAGAAGTAAAGCACAAATACCTATTTCTTCTAGACAATAAAGATGTCAGTCCTTTTAAAAATTTCTCATGGTTGTGTGTACTTGTTCTACTAATATTCTGGAGGCAAAGACAGAAAGATCACAAGTTTGAGGTCATCCTGAGGCAGGCAAGCATAGGGTAGTTTAGCAACCTGGGACTCTATTCTGTTGGGGCCATGTACATACACTTCCTCTAATGATGAACATGACAAGCTGAACTCATTACCTGTACATACTCTAACAGCTCATCAAACAATGTACTGAATAGCCTGTTAGCCTGGGGCCTCTATCTACATTGAGATACATAGATATACCTGCTTTAAATGATGGAAACAAGTTATCTTCAGCAATCCTCAAGAGCCATTTCTATTCAAACACTCTTGAATACATCTAAGAACCATGGGTCCAGTCTGGCCTAATCTGATTTT